TTTGGTAAAAAAACACGAAAAAATGCAAATGCGAAAAAACGCGGCTAAATGCTAATGCTAAAGCACTAAAAACCGCTGAAAAACTCACGTTTTTAACGTGACTTTACACAGCTAACATTAATTAAACCGCCCCGTTAAAAGTAACGCAGCACCGTATCGCAAAAAATGGCCTGGTTAGGAAGGGGGGTAAATCCCCTGGAGGGCAGGTGGTTAATGAACAAGTACAGTGGCTCGGGAGTGAGCACATATGTGTGCCCCCACTGGCTTGCTATGGGGGCTCTCATCAGGGGAGGAGAGTCCAGGAGCACGGGGGTACCTGAGAAGAGGAGGATTGCGGCTGCTCTGTGCAAAACCATTACAGGTACATATGACATGTTTAAAATAAATCCTTTTTAGTATCACTTTAACATGGCACATGACAGATATACTGTAACGACACAGGAAACTTAGTTCATTCCCCAACTTGAGTTACACAGGGAATGTACACAGGACAGTTCTGAATTTCTGACATAAGTATTTTGTTATTATTGTATTTGGATTCTTATTGAAAATCCATATAGATTTATAGATCCAGTTAAAAAAAAAAAAAAATCACCTCCAAGGGTATTGTGAAATTTTGGGGGTCTGGATCACCAGCCCGGCCGTGCCTTTGTAAAAAATAAACAGTTTTTATCTCTCTAAAAAGTCAAATAAAGCAGTTTATCTTCAGCATTAAACAAACAAAACAGTCCCAAAAATTTCTGGTAAGAAAAAAAAAAAAACAAAAAACTTTGGCTCACCGCCAGCATAAACTTGTCCCACAACAGGCTTTAAAGTCCTCGCCTGCTCCAGGGGGACCAGAAAGGGTTAGAATAGCTCAGTGGCTTCTCAGCAACCAATTGACCCACAGCTTCCTTACTACTGTGTCCTCTTCCATGCAACACTTCATGGACACCTTCTGATAGCTTCCTGCCCCTTTCCTACCTCTTTCACAGGTGGGTTAACCCTTTCAGGTCCAAGGTACCCCTAAAGTCAGGGCTGGAGGCCCTTTCCCTCCCACGATCTCTCCAAGCCTACAGATTCTGGGCCCCATATCATCAACTTAATAATCCTGCAAATGAGTTTTCCATGTTGAATGGCCTACCCCAGAAGCCCTCACCCTGCAGAGGTGAAAATCCTTGGGTACCCTTTTTTTTTTTGTAATTCTTATATTTATCCAAAGGTTGCATAATACAATATATTCAGATACAAAGCATGGAATGATAGAAAGCCAACCAAGACAACAGTAGCAATGGCTAGACAGCAAGGTCTACTGGCCAATAATTAACGTATGAGAATGGAGTAGACTTCAGGTCAATCATCAGACAACAAGACCTAGATGTTACTGTGAAAATCGGCAAATGGTGCCTCTGGCAAACTCATACAGATATAGACGGTGAGACCTCACCCAATATGGTTGATAAATGTAAAAAATACCAGGATCGCAAGAAGGGTCCCGAGGCCCTGGGCCACAACCAAAACAATGGTGACACACATCTACCATCCAGGACCCATCCCTGGCGTGTCCGGTACAGTATGCACTCACTGGCCTCTTTATTAGGTACATTGCTTGGTAACACAAATTGCTAATCAGCCAATCACATGGCAGCAACTCAATGCATTTAGGCATCTAGACGTGGTGAAGACGACTTGCTGAAGTTCAAACCGAGCATCAAAATTGAGAAGAAAGGGGATTTAAGTGAATTTGAACATGGCATGGTGCCAGACAGGCTGGTCTCAGTATTTAAAAAACTGCTGCTCTACTTGGATTTTCACGCACAACTATCTCTAGGGTTTAGAGAATGGTCCGAAAAAGAGAAAAATATCCAGTGAGCAGCAGTTGTATGGAGGGAAATGCTTTGTAGATGTCAGAGGAGAATTGGCAGACTGGTTGGAGACGATAGAAAGGCAATAGTAACTCATGTCAATATGGACCAAAATCTCTTGAGGAATGTTTCAAACCCCTTGTTGAATCTATGCCGCAAAGGATGAAGGCAGATCCGGAGGCAAAAGGGGGTCCAACCTGGTACTAGCAAGGTTGACCTAATAAAGTGGCCGGTGAGTGTATATAACAGGTCAAAAGGAGCAGAAAAAAAAAAACCAACTCATTGTTAGGGTTTACATACATTTTAAAAGCCTTTTTTGCAGCATAGTGGCACCAATTGCCATGATCATTGCTACCCCATAGAGCTGGGGTCTCCAAACTTCGTAAACAAAGGGCCAGTTTACTGTCCTTCAGACATTAGGGGGGCCAGACTGCAGCCAGTGGGAGTAGAAAATGTCCTAGTGTGGGAGCAAACAATACCTCATCCTTGGTGTCAGTGGCAGTAATTAAGGCCTATTGTTGGTGTCAGCGGGTGGAATAGTTCTTTGTATAAGTGGGAGAAATAGTGCCTCAAGGACCGGATAAAGGCCAGCAAAGGGCCACATCTGGCCCTGTGTCACAGTTTGGCGACCCCTGCCATAGATGGTATGCTCATAATCTCCAAACTTTCTAAACAAAGGGCCAGTTTACTGCCCTTCAGACATTAGGGGGGGCCATTGGCAGTAATTATGCCCTATTGTTGGTGTCAGTTGGTTTGTCAGTAGAGTTGTATCAGTGGCCGTAATTATTCCCTATTTGTTGGTGTCAGTAGGAGGTTTAGTTCCTTGTATTGTTGGTGTCAGTGGCAGAAATTATGGCCAGTTGTCAATGTCAGTGGGCCACAGTTTGGAGACCCCTGCCATAGATGGTATGCTCATAATCTCCACATTTTCTAAACAAAGAGCCAATTTACTGTCCATCAGACATTAGGGGGGTGGGGGGCACTGGTAGTAATTATGGCCAATTGTTGGTGTCAGTAGAAGGTTTAGTTCCTTCTGTAGTTGTATCAGTGGCTGTAATTATGCCCTATTGTTGGTGTCAGTAGAAGGTTTAGTTCCTTCTGTAGTTGTATCAATGGCAGTAATTATGCCCTAATGTTGGTGTCAGTGGGAGGTTTAGTTCCTAGTATCGTTGGTGTTAGTGGGAGGTTTAGTTCCTAGTATCGTAGGTGTCAGTGGCAGTAATTATGGCCTATTTTTGGCGCCAGCGGGAGGTTTAGTTCCTTGTATCGTTGGTGTCAGTGGCAGTAATTATGGCCAGTTGTTAGTGTCAGTGGGTGGAATAGTTCCTTGTGTAAGTGGGAGAAATAGTGCCCCAAGGACTGGATAAAGGCCAGCAAAAGTCCACATCCGGCCCTGGGCCACAGTTTTGGAGACCCCCGGCCATAGATGGTATGCTCATAATCTCCAAACTTTCTAAACAAAGGGCCAGTATGCGGTCCTTCAGACATGGGGGGGGGGGCAGTGGCAGTAATTATGGGCAATAGTTGGTGTCAGTGGGTGGAATAGTTCCTTGTATAAGTGGGGAGAAGTAGTGCCCCAAGGACCATATAAAGGCCAGCAAAGGGCCACAGTCTGGAAAATAGATTGTATGCTCAAATTATCAAAACTTTCTAAACAAAGGGCCAGTTTACTGTCCTTCAGACATTAGGGTGGCCAGTGGGAATAGAAAATGCCCTAGTGTGGCAGCAAACAATACCTCATCATTAGTGGGAGGTTTAGTTCCTCGTACCGGTGTCAGTGGCAGTAATTATGCCCTAATGTTGGTGTCAGTGGGAGGTTTAGTTCCTTGTATCGTTGGTGTCAGTGGCAGTAATTATGGCCAGTTGTTAGTGTCAGTGGGTGGAATAGTTCCTTGTATCGTTGGTGTCAGTGGCTGTAATTATGCCCTATTGTTGGTGTCAGTGGAAGGTTTAGTTCCTTGTATCGTTGGTGTCAGTGGCTGTAATTATGCCCTATTGTTGGTGTCAGTGGAAGGTTTAGTTCCTTGTATCGTTGGTGTCAGTGGCCGTAATTATGCCCTATTGTTGGTGTCAGTGGAAGGTTTAGTACATTGTATTGTTGATATCAGTGGCAGTAATTATGCCCTATTGTTGGTGTCAGTGGGAGGTTTGGTTCCTTGTATCCTTGGTGTCAGTGGCCATAATTATGCCCTATTGTTGGTGTCAGTGGAAGGTTTAGTACATTGTATTGTTGGATATCAGTGGCAGTAATTATGCCCTATTGTTGGTGTCAGTGGAAGGTTTAGTACATTGTATTGTTGTATCAGTGGCCAGTAATTATGCCGTATTGTTGGTGTCAGTGGAAGGTTTAGTACATTGTATTGTTGATATCAGTGGCAGTAATTATGCCCTATTGTTGGTGTCAGTGGGAGGTTTGGTTCCTTGTATCCTTGGTGTCAGTGGCCATAATTATGCCCTATTGTTGGTGTCAGTGGAAGGTTTAGTACATTGTATTGTTGGTATCAGTGGCAGTAATTATGCCCTATTGTTGGTGTCAGTGGAAGGTTTTAGTACATTGTATTGTTGGTATCAGTGGCAGTAATTATGCCCTATTGTTGGTGTCAGTGGAAGGTTTAGTACATTGTATTGTTTGTTGGTATCAGTGGCAGGTTTAGTTCCTTCTATAGTTGTATCTGTGGCAGTAATTATGCCCTATTGTCGGTGTCAGTGGGTGAAATAGTTCCTTGTATAAGTGGGAGAAATAGTGCCCCAAGGACCGGATAAAGGCCAGCAAAAGGCCACAGTTTGGGGACCCCGGCCATATGAGAACATATCAGATTACAGATAAAGGACTGACAGGCATCTCCGGTCCATGGGTTACTCTAGTCAAGTCCTGGATACACCATGGGAAGGAGGCACAAGCTCCAATGCACCAATTAGATGCTATCTTAGCCAATTATCTGCATGCCAGACTTTCACGTTCCAGGGATACCTGGCAGTCACTCAGGCACTCCCATCAGTGCAGGATCACTGCACCAGACCTGAATAGAGGCACTGACAGGGAGGTCTGCTCAGTGCGGCTCTTATCTGAAGATGAATTACTCCAAAACAAAAAACATTTTCATCCCCCCCACAGAGTTCTTAAGTGGAATGTAGAGAAAGAAAAGTGCAGCTTACCCCATGACCAAATCCTTTAATGAACCCGCGCCCCATCCTTCCAAACGTCTTAAAGAACTGATGGGTAAAATGTTGGGCGAAGAAGGCAAACATGAGGTTGGTGCGCTGTGGGTCGGGGATGAATTGGCGTCTTCTCAGAAAGGTCTCCACCAGGAACGTGGCGTTGGGCAGTCGCATCTTTCCTGTAGAGGGAGAAGAGAATGCATGGATTGCAGTGTGGGTGCTTTAGCATGCGGCTGGTATGAACATAGAAAACAAAGACTTTGCACACCTTGTATTTCGATGAATTCTCATCGAATATATTTCACGGATTCAACTACAATTGAGCTTCAAAGTGGAATTCCAGGATTACCCTATTTTTAAAACTTCTGCCACCTATAACTTACCTATTTACAGGTCACTGTGGTCCAATCATGTGATCCCCTTTGTGTCATCCAGTGGCGGCTGCAGGGGAGAGGAGAGAGCGCTTCAACAATGGCTGGTAAAGCCTGGGGTGGTGACGTCACCCATAGGCTTCAATGGCCCATCCGTTGTCGGCACTCCCTCCTCTCCCCTGCAGCTACCGCTGGCTGACACGGGAGAGTCCCAAATAGGTACGTATTCAGATCTTTCCTCACATCAACATGACAACATACATGTGATAAAGCTCCGCCCCTATCTCCACCCACAGGACCAGTGTCAAGCTTCTATGTCCGATAGCAGATTTGTTTATGCATCACGACCCCCCCCTGTTCAGCCCCTTTAGTTATATGCAGGGCTTTTTTTCTGCAGGAACGCACTGAATGTATGCATGGCAGGTGGTGCTGGAGGGTCTATTATTATTGACTGCCAGGGGATCTATTATTGCTGGGGGGGGGGGGAATTATGTTGCAGGAGCATCATTTGTTGCTGGGAGGAATCTACTGTTTTTGGCTGCTGGAGGTTCTCTTGATGCTGGCTGCTGGGAGATCTATTGTTGCTGGGGTAGTATTTTCTAGTGTATAGTCTATTGTTGCTGAGGGAGGGGTCTAATGTTGCTCATTGGATCTATTGTGGCTAGAAAAACCTATTGTTTGGGCGCCTATTATTGCTGGGGGGGGGGTCTACTGTTGAGGGAGGGATCTACTGTTGTTGCCTGCTGGAGGTTTTATTGATGCTGGCTGCTAGAAGTTCTATTGTTGCGGGTGTGGTATTTTGTTGTTGCTGAGGAGATCTATTGTAGCTGTGGGGATCTATTGTTGGTAAAGGAATTATTGTTGCTGGGGTGGTATTTTTTGCAGGGGGTCTATTGTTGCTGTGACCTAACCCATGCTGGCTGGAGAGGCCAGGCACACCTGCTGAGAGTCGGTTCCTTCCGGCACCGCGACTCCCTGGACATCCACCTGCCCTCCTCGCTCCTCCCTTGGGACCCGCCATTGAGCACCAGCTACCACAGTTACATCGGCCCCTGGAACCTCAGCCATCCGCTCCAGAGATGACGTCAAATTTACTATTTGATGCCTGATATACACCAACATCTTGTGAGTTTTTTTTAACCTGTGTGCATTAAACTTTTACCTTCTTACTACACTTAGTCTGGCACACCTCTCTCCTCTGTGAAAATTTATTGCTGCTGGATGGAAGCTATTGTTTCTGAGGGGATTCATAGTTGCTGAGGGAATCTTTTGTTGCTGGGAGGGCCTACTTTTGTTTTGAGGGGGTCTATTGTTACTGTGGGGTTCTGTTCTTGCTGGGGGGATCTATTGTTGCTGGCTACTTTTACTGCTTTTCTTGTTACATTTAACAAATTCCATACATATTTAGCATCACAAAATCATACTTGGTTCTGTATTCTCTAAAAGGGGCAGTATTTGGGGGTGGGGCCAAGAGATGGTGTTCGGAGGTGGGTAAGGGGTGAGATAAAGGGATGGTGTTTAGAGGTGAGTAGGGGGTGGGGGTCAAGGGATGGTGCTCAGAGGTGGGTAGGGGGTGTGGGACCAAGAGATGGTACTCAGAGGTGGGAAAGGGGTGGGGGACCAAGGGACGGTGCTCAGAGGTGGGTAGGGGGTGTGGGACCAAGGAACGGTGCTCAGAGGTTGGAAAGGGGGTGGGGGACTAAGGGATGGTGCTCGGAGGTGGGGGACCAAGGGATGGTGCTCGGAGGTGGGAAAGGGGTGGGGGACCAAGGGACGGTGCTCCGAGGTGGGAAAGGGGTGAGAAGACCAAGGGACGGTGCTCGAGGTGGGAAAGGGGTGAGGGACCAAGGGACGGTGCTCCGAGGTGGAAAGGGGTGGAAGACCAAGGGATGGCGCTCTGAGGTGGGAAAGGGTGGGGGACCAAGGGATGGTGCTCGCAGGTGAGATAGGGGTGGGGGACCAAGGGATGGTGCTCGGAGGTGGGAAAGGGGTGGGGGACCAAGGGATGGTGCACGCAGGTGAGATAGGGGTGGGGGACCAAGGGATGGTGCTCGGAGGTGGGAAAGGGGTGGGGGACCAAGGGATGGTGCACGCAGGTGAGATAGGGGTGGGGGACCAAGGGATGGTGCTCAGAGGTGGGAAAGGGGTGGGGGACCAAGGAACGGTGCTCGCAGGTGGGATAGGGGGACCAAGGGATGGTGCTCGGAGGTGGGGGACTAAGGGATGGTGATCGCAAGGTGAAGGGGTGGGGGGACCAAGGGACGGTGCTCGGAGGTGGGTGGGGACCAAGGGACGGTGCTCGGAGGTGGGTGGGGGACCAAGGGACGGTGCTCGGAGGTGGGTGGGGGACCAAGGGACGGTGCTCGGAGGTGGGTGGGGGAACCAAGGGACGGTGCTCAGAGGTGGGTGGGGGACCAAGGGACGGTGCTCGGAGGTGGGGGACCAAGGGACGGTGCTCGAGGTGGGAAAGGGGTGGGGGACCAAGGGACGGTGCTCCGAGGTGAGAAAGGGGTGAGGGACCAAGGGACGGCGCTCTGAGGTGGGAAAGGGGTGGGGGACCAAGGGATGGTGCTCGAGGTGAGATAGGGGGTGAGGGACCAAGGGACGGGCTCTGAGGTGGGAAAGGGGTGGGGGACCAAGGGATGGTGCTCGCAGGTGAGATAGGGGTGGGGACCAAGGGATGGTGCTCGGAGGTGGGAAAGGGGTGGGGGACCAAGGGATGGTGCTCGGAGTGGGGGACCAAAAGGGGTGGGGGACCAAGGGATGGTGCACGCAGGTGAGATAGGGGTGGGGGACCAAGGGATGGTGCTCGGAGGTGGGAAGGGGTGGGGGACCAAGGGATGGTGCTCAGAGCAGGTGAGATGCTCAGGGGTGGGGGACCAAGGGACGGTGCTCAGAGGTGGGTAGGGGGTGGGGGACCAAGGGACGGTGCTCAGAGGTGGGAAAGGGGTTGGGGACCAAGGGACGGTGCTCGCAGGTGGGAAAGGGGTGGGGGACCAAGGGACGGTGCTCAGAGGTGGGAAAGGGGTGGGGGACCAAGGGACGGTCCTCCGAGGTTGGAAGGGGTGGAAGACCAAGGGATGGTGCTTAGATGTGGGGGACCAAAGGATGGTGCTCAGAGGTAAGAAAGGGGTGGGGGACCAAGGGGTGGTGCTCACAGGTGGGATAGGGGTGGGGGATCAAGGGATGGTGCTCGGAGGTGGGGGACCAAGGGATGGTGCTCAGAGGTGGGTAGGGGACCAAGGGATGGTGCTCAGAGGTGGGTAGGGGACCAAGGGATGGTGCTCAGAGGTGGGTAGGGGGTGGGGCCAAGGGATGGTGGTCAGAGATGGGAAAGGGGTGGGGGCCAAGATATGCTGCTCAGAGGTGGGTAGGAGGTGGAGACAAAGAGTGACTTTTAGGGGGAGGAGTACCTGAGAAAAATAGCCTTGATCATATATATTATTGTCAGGAAGAAAGAAAAAATTGTATCAAAAACATACCTTAATATTCCTTTCCTGACGCCAATCCATGGTAGCATACAGACCCTCCCATGGATCTTTAGTATTTTTACAGAGAATGGGGCGGGTCTCGCTCTTTCCTTTTATAGATTTACGCTGGTCCTGTGGGTGGAGCTCCATCGTATGTTTGCCGCCATGGATTGGTGTCAGGAAAGGAAAATTACGGTAAGTATTTGATACAATTTTCCTGCACAGGTTAGTAGACATGGGTGTTAGGAAGGGGGGAGGGACCATCTTACGGCTAGTTGGGATTATCCCGGAATTCCACGTTCCCATTATTACAAGGTAAATAGAAGACGTCTAGCGATGGTTTCCACCTTCATTTCCCAGGAAAGTAGAATAGAAGGACTGAATATATTCTATAACAAAGTCACACTTCTTATACACATTCAATGCACAGGAAAAAATGGTAATAAAGAGTTCCTGGACAGCAGATGGTTGTACGAGTATATAAAGGTTTCCTGGAAGTCTAATCCACCTTCCCGCTGTGGACCCGGATGGGATTTGGTGCAGGATATGGAGTCATCTGTTCAGTATATACAATGCTCCCACACCTTCCAGCCCCGGTGGGGAATGTCCTACACAAGTATCTGCAGATTCCTGGGTCAGTGTAAAATCAACAAAAACTGAGATAAAACATAATGCATGGTACGGATTATGCCGACTCCCAATCATTGCATCACATTTTTCTTTAATTAGCTCATGCTTCATCAGCCGGGAAATGGCTTCCACGTCCGTAGGAGAGAATGAAGAGCCCCCGAAAGTGAGAAATACAGTGGGGCAAAAAAGTATTTAGTCAGCCACCAATTGTGCAAGTTCTCCCATTTAAAAAGATGAGAGAGGCCTGTAATTCATATCATAGGTAGACCTCAACTATGAGAGACAAAATGAGAAAACAAATCCAGACAATCACATTGGCTAATTTGGAAAGAATTTATTTGCAAATTATGGTGGAAAATAAGTATTTGGTCACCTACAAACAAGCAAGATTTCTGGCTCTCACAGACCTGTACCTTCTTCTTTAAGAGGCTCCTCTGTCCTGCACTCATTACCTGTATCAATGGCACCTGTTTGAACTTGTTATCAGTATAAAAGACACCTGTCCACAACCTCAAACAGTCACACTCCAAACTCCACTATGGTGAAGACCAAAGAGCTGTCGAAGGACACCAGAAACAAAATTGTAGACCTGCACCAGGCTGGGAAGACTGAATCTGCAATAGGCAAGCAGCTTGGTGTGAACAAATCAACTGTGGGAGGAATAATTAGAAAATGGAAGACATACAAGACCATTGATAATCTCCCTCG